TTCTCTTTTTATTAAAATTAAAGTGTACACTTGAGTACACACACACAAATTGTATATAATCTGGAGTGAGAAGAAAATGTTTTAGTGAACACTATTACATGGTTCCTTGTTATCAGTTTGCCCATATCAAGTATTAAAGGGTATCTTACTAATTGTAATAGGTCTATTTGTCAGAAATCATTTTTAATAAGTTTTCTTTTATGCATTATTGTGTATAAAAATTCAGCAGTGAAACAAACTAGTCTTTGTTAAGGTTTTCATACAAACACATGTTCCATATGTAGATATATAAGACTGAATGACCTTGGGCAAATTCCCATGTTGCTACATTTGTAGACAGAATTTTTGAAAGCCCTTGTTTATTTCTTTTTCATTTTGAAGTACGCTATGCAAAGGTTATCGTATGAGCTACTAGTAAAATGCCCTGTTGCTGTTTAGAGCCCACCAAGCTTAAAGACCATGGAGTTTAAAGATGAAAAAGAATTGTAAGTGGGAGTAGATTCGGAAATTGATTTGTGAACCATATTTAGGGTATATAATAGTGAAACTCCTTTTTAATTGCATGATGCCAGCTGACTATATACATTTTCCTTTGGTTTCCTATAAGAATACCATTTTAGTTTCCTCAGGATTATATTGATTTAGCAGAATTCCTGAGAAAGGGCTTTTCTTGCTAAGGCTTTTTAGCAGTTTGAAAGTAGAATGGTGGATCTTATAGCAAAGGAAATGTGTGATGGCGATGAGGTACTAATAAGTGTAAGAGATCAGTTTGGTCGTGAACCTCTGATTTGGTGTAATATATTTGCCATTGTGTATGTTCAATTAGAAGGCAGTTCCCCATTTTCCTCATGAAACTCTTCCCCCTCCCAAATTCTTTTGCCAACTGAAATATAAAAGGTTTTAGAGATATACCTGATACATAAAATTTTACATATATTTAATCTTAGTTACATAAACCATTGTATTATATACAGAATTTAGAAATAAAGTTATATTTTGTTTTACTGTCCCATATGATGAAGTAATTTTGTTCAAACTTTTCATATTTAATTGGGATCCCTTTGGAATAATTTGTCTTTCTGAGACAGTTGTTCAGGTGATGGCTATTAGGAATATGAGTGACTTCGTATGTCTTCAGATATAAGGTGACTCCTTTTTTTCTGAAAAATAATTTTGGGGGGGATACAACCTTTACCTGATATCTGAACATATATGATAATTCCTTATACCTCTTATTCTTATATTTAGAAGTATTTCTCAATT